CCCATACATCCACGTGCTGAGTTCTCGCCAGTCACAGCGTGCAGTGGGATCCATAATAACATGTTGTAGGGTGGGTGTAAACAGCGGAATAGCTGCAGTGTGACACTTCTCACCTGAGTACAAATAGACAATCTCTTTTTTTTGGCTCTGCAATTACTACAAAAAGCATGGAGAAGGGAAAGAAGTGATATGACTAGCTCATGATGATTGGTGTACCTGTAATTTCTATCTGCATTTTATACCTCTTCAATGAGTCTGCACATGCAGTTACTGAATTTGTTCCCTTCCTGCGTTTTTTGTATGTAAGTGTGTGTGTCTGTGTGTGTTGTGAGCACTGTAACAGAGTGTAAAACTCTGTGATGCACAGATCTCCTGCCCAGTCCTGAACAAGCCAGGAAAAGTATTTTTTAACTTAACTCTCACATATATATTTGTGTTTGAAGTGATTGCTGTAAATGCAGGCTTTTTCACTTTAAATGCAGCTCCTGCGTCCAAGAAATGGCCCACAAAGACTTCGCCTGTTACAGAGGGGGAGTTTAATGCTGCACCATGTACTTTATTGCTGTCAAATGTAATTCATCTTGAGTTGATTGCACTGAAAGCCGTGTTTATCAGGCACCTAGCAACACTGTTTTGAATGAAAATTACCTCTTTAAAGAGCAATTAGGAAAACGAACCTATAGGCCAAATGCCTTTCAGCTCCAGATTTACTTTAACAAACATTATCGTACAGTAAGTCATGCAAAAAATGTAAAGTGGCATCAGCTAAGCAAGTGCACAAAGTCCCCAGAGGTAATAATTTTTAAAATGAAGGTCATGAGACTTTGATGGAAGAGATGTGAAAGTTGTTTTTAAAGAGGGACTTTCACTAGAAGCTGTGTGCGAGAAACTTTATTGCCATGGCTCGGATTGGCAATGTGACTCAAAATAACAAGATTAGATTAATTGCAGGAAATAGCTCTGAGATGGTTTGATGTTTGCATGCATCTGTATTATTCATTGGGAGATCCTATTAGCAGAGCAATATCTCGCTCTCTCATGCGTGTCGGCTTAAACGAGTGAATATTTTCAAATCTACCTCACAGTGTAGCCCAATGGGAAACAGGTCTTTTGTAGGGGTGCTTAAAAGGCCACCGCGATGCCAGCACATATGAGAAGGCAATTAGAGATAATGCCGCATTTTACACGCCGTTACCTGTTTCTTCGTGAGAGAAAAAGCTTGAACAAGTGCAGTAATAAGAACCAGGATCAGGCAACGAAACGACGAGACTTGTTTTTCTGGTGCGTTTTCCCGTGCTTCCCCCCTCAGCGAACCATAGCGTGGCTTGTTTCTTTGTGTTCTAGATCAGGATCCAGATAGAGTCTCATCATCCAAGCCTTACTCCACTTTTCCCCCCATTAGATTTTCTTTTCCCTTAAATTCCCTCACACTCACTCCCCCCTCGCACACATACATCTCGCACACACACCTCGTTATCTTATTTGCGGCCTTGGCAGCCAGATTGTTGCCTTGCGGTTCGGTAGCCAGAGTTTTCTCTGTCACAGAGAGCCGTGGGTGCAGAACCTCCACCGCACAAGCTTCCATAAGAGCAGGAAGTCAGTTCCCAGCATGCCTTGCCCGTCCCAATGAAACCTGGGATGGATTAACCTTGGGCTGGGGGACCTTTCCAACTTGGAAAGAGAGTTATGCAACTTCCCATACTTATCTCTCCTCTCTATTGCAGTGACAGTGAAACGTGTTGGGCTGAACAGACATTTGTTTAAAACTGAGGTTCAGGCCTGAGGATGTAATGTTCCCTCATATAAGGCTCTTTATGTAATGTAGCCTTCTTCATTGCACAACACCACTGTGAGGGCTCTTTTGGAGTCCTGTTGTGCCATCAATACTCAAAGCACACTTTGATTCTTTTAAGAAACTTGTAGTTAAAATCAAATTTTTTCCAAGTGGTTATCTTCCTATTCCATCACCTTTTTCAAATTTCCCCAACTCTTGGACGGTGTAATCAAATCCAAGCTCAAGCCCCAAATCCTGAGTACTCCAGCCCAAAATAAGCAGGTTGAGTTTACATAATCCATTCCACAGCAGTCTGTTTCATGGCTGTGCTTCTACATACTGCCATTTTACGGTGAAATCAATAGAAGTGGAGCTCACAGGTCATTAATCTGTTGCTTGAAAAACAATCCCATGAACCTATCAATATGTTGCGTCATATTATCAGTGGTTGTTTGGCAAGATGTGCTATGACCACATGATCAAGTACAGATTTAACACAACATTGAAAAACTTTCCCAATTTTGAGTCTGAGTGCAGCCACTCATCCTATAGCCCTGCCCCTGGTGCACTTAGAGCAAATATGCTTAGTGCAGCACCACACAGTTGACAACAATCTCTTTATAGTGAGGCCAGGTCAGTGAGGTTATGTGATGGAATAGTTTTGCTGTGTGGGACTGCATGGATCTTTTCACAACACAATACCTGATAAATGTTGACATTCTGGATTCCTTTATGGGCCTCAGAGATCCCCGTCAGTCTCCCTATAGGGATTTAGCTTGCTTACATTTTTGTCAAAAAAAGCACAGAATTTATTGGAATTCAAGTTTGGTGGATGACATGCAGGGCAGAGTGAGCTTCCCCACACTCATTTCCTCAAACCCATTTTGGCCCCTGAAACAAACCAATATTCCTATACTGGAATATTACCTTGCCCAAGATTTACTGTTGGTAGGTTTGCAATAATTCAAATAAACACACATGTCTGTAAAAATGTGTGTCACGTAATAATAACAGTATATTAAAGAGATTAAAGTCTCTTTAATATGCAGGTTAAGCAAATTAAGTGACTTCTGGAGTTAGACTGTTAAACTGCTTTTCACCATTTCTGTGTCCAGGGACCACTTGCACAAAACACCTTCAGTTTCCTCCCGAAGTATGGCACTTAAGGCTTAATTTGTCTTTAACTGAGGTACCCACACAGCTGCCTGTTACCATCTCACAAATTTGGCTTATAGTTAGATAGTGAAAAAATGGCGGAAGAAAAGAAGACAAGACAACTATATTGGTCAGAGGAGGAAAAGATTACACTTCTGGAGGAATGCAATCATAAAAAGCACAAACTACAAAGCAAATTTGATCTCCAAATACAAAACGCTCTTCTAAGGTGTTTATTTATTTATTTATTTATTTATTTATTTATTTATTTATTTTTTCATCACCAAAAACTCGATCATGTTGCAGTTAAGATAGAGTCAGAGGTACCTTAAGTTTGTTTTTTGTTACCTTGCTTTGGTCGCTAAGGTCTTTTGTGCAATGGTCTAGGGATTCCTTAAGTATAACACCAAGACAAGGAAAAAAACATAAATACATTTTGAACATTTTAAGGAAGTCTTTAAGAGAAGACTTAAGGGTGTTTTGTGCCATTGATTTTATTTTGAGGGAATCTTAACTGGACTTTAAGGGTAATCTTAATTTAAGGTGTTTTGTGCAACCGGTCCCAGGATTTTTCGAGTGGGCCTAAAAGCATGGCTCGAGGACACGCTGGAGTCATCCTTAACATAACCCCCATCATATAAAAACTATGTTATACAACGACCCGGGTTCGACTCCAGCCTGTGGCCCTTTGCTGCATGTCTCTCCCTCTCTCTCTCTCCCCCTTCACACTTCACTATCCTGTCAATTAAAGGCAAAAAATGCCCTAAAAAAAAATCTTTAAAAACAGGAACTGCCCATTGGTCCGACATCCCACTGTTCCGACCATATTAAACCCATTGTTCCGAAGTCCATTCCGAAATCATCATGATGCCCTGTGGTTAAGGTCTGGTTAGGTTTAGGCACAAAAAACACTTGGTTAGGGTCAGGAAAAGATCATGGTGTGGGTTAAAATGAAAAAGAAAGTGACAAACACATAAGCCGTGAGCCTGCTTCGCCTCAAGCCTTTCCCAGCTGACCCAGAGCTGGTCGTGGCGCACCATCAAGGCAGAAATACGCCCGCCGGGAGCCATTCAGCACCCCGGACTGTCGGACTAATGGGATGTCGGACCAATGACATGGACCCTTTAAAAACTATGTTACAACTAACGTTAGAGGGCATCAGTGTCGTTTAACCCCCTGTTCCCCCCCGTGTAAGCGGAGTTTGCTACATTTCACAACCTCTCTTAGCTCTTTTAGTCCAATAAATATGTAAATAAACAACTCTGTTAAATGGTACAATCATATAAACACAAGCACTTTAGCCATCACCAACATACCTTTCAGTCTTTAACCAGAATTGGCTACTTGGCTCATTGGCTGTTAATGGCCACTGCTGTGGGTGTGTGCTTTGTGCTAACATTAGCTGCTAACAAGAGTCTGTCACTATGGAGTGGCACTCGCTCTTAGGCTCAAGGTGTGTATGCGGTGTGCTATTAGGTCAGCTGCCAAGGAAAGTCTCTCATTGTGCTGCAGCTCACTCTTTGGCATCTTCAGCAGACATGTCCCCAGTGTCTCAAAGCAGAGAATATTGCTCAATTTTTCACAATTTTGAAACTTAATATTATATACTTGTTGTTTTTAATCATTTAAATTTGGTTGCGTGGTTAATAACGCAATTTTCTGCGGTGTTTCAAACTCAGAACACATTTATTTTTGTTTTACCTGGACTTTAAAACCAAATGTTGACACAGGATCCCTCCATGAGACAGGGCTGCAGGGTCAGGGCATTTACCATTTCAGTTCTCACTATGTTTCAAACCAATTTAAAATTAATTTAGGTTACCACAAAGTAATTTGCCACACCAACAACCTTTGCCTTCAGGGCCCCTGAGGGTCTGGGGCCCCAGGTCAGTTGGCCTTAGTCATCATGTAACATTTGCTAAAGAAACAGATCACATAACACTGAGTTCAAGAACTTTGACATGAGGTTACAGGAAACAGAGGGAAGGCAGTTACTTGGAGAATCTAACAAGTGTGCAGTACTGATTAAAGGGATAACTATCTTTCTCTCTTTCTCTGTCTTTATTCCCAGGTGGCTCGGGTAAGCACCGATCCAAAGAACCAAAGAAGAAGAACAAGCAGAGGCTGCGGTTTCGGGCCCAGAACCAGCACAGCGACCACTTGGCCTCTGCACGCTCCAGCCAGTGAGGACTGAAACTACGGACTTCCCATTGAACAAAGAACCAACGCAAAGCTGCTAGCCGCTGCTGCACCCATATTCTGACCGACGACTATCACGAACCCCTCCACCTCCCTACCCCCCCTTCCCCAGCCCACCCGGACAAAACCATGACTCACAAGTCCGTCACTACAAAAATATATGTCTAACGTACGATATCAGTATCAACACACTAAACACATGCTTCATGCCTCTGCCTCCCGCTGCTTCTCCCCCTGCTGCAGTGCGCCAGCCAGGTGACTCTGTTCTCTCAGCCCCACCCCTTGCCTTGCCTTGTGGACCTTTACAGTTGACATTACTGAACTCATTTCCTGTCATTAACAATGTCATTAACCGTGCAGGGTGATGGAAGATGGAGGGGCAAACCAGAGACTGTGGAGGCGGGAGAGCCAGATAGAGGGAGGTGGATAGGAGAGGTAGTAAGGGAGTTGGCAAGCTAAACTGCTCGTGGAAGGGGTAGGGGTGGGTGGGGGTTGGACCAGGGAGGATGAAAAAAAGAGGGAGGATGAAGAGGAAAGAGAGATTCGGCTGAAGCAAATGATGCCGATGGACAAGAAAATGGCATCTTGAACTGAAAGAGACTGTTTTTTGTTCCTATATTTATGTCAAAACTACCCTCACCTTACCCTCTGAACGGAGACAGAGTGTTCCCATGTGTGGCCTTTATGTTATGTACATTTTTGAGAGTAATATTAAAGAAATTACCATGCATAGTTGCAAAGTATTTTATTCTCAGCACAAACTGTTTACGTTCAGACCGCTTTATGCTCTAACTGTATAGTGTGGATAAAAAAAAGAAGAAATTTAGTTGTTCGACTAGCATGGCAACAGACTCATGTGTATATAGTTTATCTAATTATGAAAGCTTATTACTGTATTTTCAGTATTGACTTGTTCACCGTTCTAAATGTTTTAGAGATAAAAAGGTTGTAATACCAAGCTACAGATTAAAATGATTAAAAACAAATAATAAACATAGCCACCACATAGCTATTTCATTTATATGGTATATATTTGATTTATTTATTGATTCTATTTTGTACTTTTTTTGTTCAGTGAGAATTTTTGCCTCATACTGTTACTCTTATATGCTGAAATATTCTTTGAGTTCCTTATAACAGTGCATATCTTTAACACGTGGAAAAAGGTTTTTGTCTGATGTCGCGCAAAGTGTTGTATTACATTCATTCATTTGACCTCATCTACTGATTTCAGTGTTTTAAAGAAGAAGAAAAAAAAGACAAAACTATGCTTTGACGTATTCTAGGTTTAATGATTAGGATCCAGCAAATGTATGGTCATAGGACTGCATATGTGTACATTGTGTTTTATTAAAATACATTTCATGTGACTGTATGATGAAGCTTTTCATTATTATCTATGGCTATAATATATGTGGCTAAACTCCAAAACTGCCGTTTCCTTGTCTCACTTCAGTGTACAATTATGTGATTTCAAAAACATTTGTGAAATCCATCATGTCACACTGCATGACACGAGTGCTACCTCCAGCCAAAGGATTGGACATGGTCGATTGGGCCTTAACAGCATGACGGCACTGTTAAGGGTTTGTAATTCACTATGACGTATCCCCATGAATGGTACAAAACCAGTGCATGCTGTTGGTGGCTCATTCATTTCCAACATCATACAGTAATGCCCTAAAAACATGCATTTGGCTGCGGCACTCGCCTTTCATCACGCGCACACATTCGATCACCTCTTTATGTAATGCATGTCGCACTTATTCACTTTAGTGGTTCTCAAAACATCAAATAAACACATAAAAAAGTCTTCTTTAGGCTTAAATCTGCCTGGTATATGGGCAAGGAGAAAATGTTTTAATGCAAGTCACGGCTAGTTTAGCCCAAGATCCACACTGTATAATCATTGTCCCGAAAGAGAAAAAAGCTGAATCTGCCGGACAGCTTATGGATGCACAGTAGCAGATGAATCATGCTGTGTCACATATATATCATCCTGGGAGACACAGACCACAGTCTTCCTGCTCTGGTTAACCCCCCTGAAATCACACATGATATTTCCATAGGGAGGCTGTCAGTGTTGAAATACCCCACTCTTTATATGCTCCGTGTCCATCTTGAGGCCTAATACGCAGCGGTTTTAAGTGCCTAAACATCTTTCGCAGGTGTTCAAAGTGGCATGGCATATTTTACACAGGAGGCTTTTCATTTTCACAGCTTAACACTTCCACTGAGTAACATTTGTGCCAAAACTGACAAAATGTAGTGAAAGTTAAGGTTAAAAATCTAAGGGACTACATCATAAATACAGAATAATAAGCTACAAAGTCAAAGCTAACATTTGTAATTAAACTATCTCAACATTCCTGTAAAATTTGCCTGAGACACCTATCCAAGGCATAGTAAATTTAAAGTCTAGTCTAGATCTAGTGTGTAGGATTTAGTGTCATAGTGGTGAGGTAGCAGAACTGAAACTTCTCCTGCGTGCCAAGTGTGTTGGACAGCTACGGTGACCAAAGTGAAAACCGGACAACAAAAAAACACAAATGTATCCAGAGTCAGTGTTTGGTTGTCCATTCTGGGCTACTGTAGAAACAACATGGTGGACTCCATGAAAGAGGACCTGCTCTGTTTTGACACGGCTCATTTGAAGGTAACAAAAACACAAAGATTCTTATTTTCAGGTGATTAAACTAATGGAAACCTAGTTATGAATATTATATAGCATTTCTCCCAATCAATGCCCCTAAACTCTACATACTGGATCTTATATGCACACCCATGGTCTCTTTTGAGTCAGAATCACTGTAAGTGCTACTGGCACTGAGTAATAGAAGTTTGAACACACTGTAATAGAAGGTTTTAATTTCCGCCTGAATATTTTCTTAAAAACAGATGCCTGCTGATGACTATAGCTGGGACTTAATGGGACCATTTCATAAAGCCTTACCTAGCCTAGCCATCCTACAGGTTTGTAAAGGTGCTCTGTCTGATAAAGAGTAAAAATCAACAAAGAAAGAATTTTAAAAAGCCTAAATAACAAAAAAGACTATTTTTACCTTTAAAACAATATAGGGACCATCTGTTTATAATGTATTCATATTTTGTGAGCTGTATACTGTATGTCTGGAATTTCATTGGCTGTATGAAGCATCAGTCATCAGTACAGCCACTTGTTATTGGCTGGATCCCTGGATGTTAGAGGAAAGCAGGCCTTTCCTTTCAACACAGACTCTTGTTGGCTATTGTAGGCTATGGACAAGACATGGGAGCTCCTACTGTATCAAGTGAGGTGTCACTCAAATGGTCAGAGTGCAGCAACTATTTTGGTAGGGGCTTTATCAAATACCTTTATGGGAGTCAATTTTACATTAGGACATTTGAAAGGATGCAGTGGCACGCCATGACTTTTTATGGACATAATAATGTGTTTGGACTTAATATTTTACTGGGGTCCCCACAGATATGCCTTAAGAATAACCACTTAAACTCAACAGCTATAATGCACACCAGCCAGTGCATCATTGCCCACGTTCTGCATATAGTTATATCATCTCTTGTAACAGTAGCTAAAGCATTTTAGCCAGCAAGACATTATCTTATGAGACAGAAGACCTAATCAAGCCTATCTGGAAAATGACAAGGAGGATTGAGTCCTCGTCTTCAATTGTGGTCCTTGAAGAAAAGAGAGACATGCACTTCAAGAAGCATAGCATCTGTGAACTGCTAAGTAATGTTAGCTAGGTAATTTTATTGCGTTAGCTTGTTGGTTAAAATGCTTTAGCCATTGTTACAGGAGTTACAGTGATGCGACAGCAACATGTAGTACAGGCGAATAATTAACATTACCAGCACTGGCTGGTGTGGCTTTATGATGAGAGGTAGCTTTAGCTTGATAGCTAGCTCAATGTTTAGCATTGTTTTCAGTAAAGACAGCCAGCCACTTAGGTTGTCTTAGAAATGGCATATGAACCTATGTACTGCTTACCAATTGACCTATGGCTAAGCCCCGCCCTCAAACGCGATGAGCAAATCACAGTGCCATTCCCACACACTCAGACATTAGGCTCGTTCGAGATGAACTGCGCCTCGCCTGAAAAGTAGACGAGAGCAGGCGGCCGCAGCGGGGGGCGGTGACAAAAAGCTGCGGTGAAGTCGGACAGTTTCCCGACAGTTTCCAGCAGCCTTCAGTCCGTACAGGAAGTCACAGACACACTAACATCCTGTCTGGAATGATGTCAATTCATTAAAAAAGTGATCAGGCCTATATATCAGTTTGTTTTCACCATCAGTCACACAACATGTTTTCTGTTAATCTCTAAAATACAACAAAAATGAGTAGTTTATCTAAAACATCATATTGTTGGGTCGGCATCTGAACCAATGAGCTATTAGATCAGGTGAGAGCCAGGCGGTGCAGTCGGTGGAGAGCAACTGCAGCGCCTGGCTCTAAAAACTGCGGCCACCTCGCTCTCGCGGTTTTATCACCGTCCACTTTTGTAATACGTCAGAGCAAGTCGGGATGAAGTCGGACACAAAACTAACCGGCATGCATTGTGCGCCGATCGCCGGTGATCGAATCTGCGCAGGCCTGGCTCATCTCGAACGAACCTAGTCTCTGCTTGGACGTTCATTGAAATGCATTACAGAAAGTCAGTTTTGGTCGGTTTTATGAGCTTTTTCGGAGATTTGAAGTTTAAAAATGGTCAAACAGTGTGCATGGGGTACATGTAACTTCGACACAAGGTATCCTGAGATGCTGGGCGGGGAACTGCCCATTGGTTCGACAGCCCATTGTTCCGACCATATTAAACTCATTGTTCCGAAGTCCATTCCGAAATCATCATGACGCCCTGTGGTTAAGGTCTGGTTAGGTTTAGGCACAAAAAACACTTGGTTAGGGTCAGGAAAAGATCATGGTGTGGGTTAAAATGAAAAAGAAAGTGACAAACACATAAGCCGTGAGTCTGCTCCGCCTCAAGCCGGTCGAGGTGCACCATACACCCGCCGCGAGCCGTCGAGCACTGCGGACAGTTGGACTAATGGGATGTCGAACCAATGGGCTGTCGAACCAATGACATGGACCTGCTGGGCGATGGGGTGTATTTTTTACCCTTTCCTCAACCACATCTCAACCGAGAAAAGTGTCTCCTTTGGATAAAGTTGTGCGGTAACGTTAGACCACAACATTAACTCAACATGAATAAGATTAACAAGGATGTCTACATCTGTTCTAAGGTAAGTCAACATCGTGTTTGAGGCAACATATTGTCACTTTGCTGGAAAGAAATATAAAGTTATCTTCAACATCTCTAGCTAACGTTAGCTAAAGTTAGCCTAACGTTAGCTAAAGTTAGCCTAACATTAGCTCCTAGCTGCGTTGTTCATCATGTCTCCTTGTTTGCTGGGAGTTCATTAGCCTATTTTGTTCTAGTTTTGTACTTTGGTGATCGTACATCATT